TTTTCTTATTGACATGTCGATTCCGTTCTTAGCTCTGAAAAATCTGACCATAGACGATGAGTGTGAGGACCAATGCCTTAGTGGGTAGGGCCTTTTCTTCAACTTCTCCTACCCGCTGACCGCCTTTACCAACACCCCTACAATACGATGCATTCACGCTTCAAACCACCAAAAGAATTCTGGGGAAGTTGTAAAAGATCGCACAAAGGCAAAGATTAACTGACACGATTATTATCCTCTGCTCGAATAAGTAAAGCACCAGTAGACTCGAAGAGTCTCATGTCATTATTACACACTCAGAAGGTAAATCATATAGAAACGTAGTTTTGTAAGAATAGAATCCTCCGAGATCGATACCTGTATTATCTGGTAAATCACACATCTTTTCAGAGAATCAATGCCAGAGTCTCTGGAATACATTATCATAGTACGGATGACAGACATGTAAATTGTGGCTTGGGCAAGAAGTTCAGATATATGGCATCCTATACAATTGGTCAGTTTCTCAGTTTTTGATGGGTCGTGAATCTATTTTTGTTTGCTGGATCCCAGTAGTACGATATGAGAATAAAGTATTTTTTTGCTGGGAAAGTCTCATATAACTGGAATATTCACATCACTAATTCGACTGTAACTCAGCTCAGACAGAATCGTTTTGCCCCAAATTTTCAGAGTTTGTCGCTCGTACTATACCGCAGTTTTTCTGAAAGTTTGATCTTGCAACAAACCTTAATAACGGAGATTCCATGGACACACCAAAATCAATTTTTTCACAGGACATTAATTTTTTTTACATTTTTTCTTTACTAATTCTACAGCTCAATTCTTCACAGAAACAGAAATATACTCAGTTTGTAGAGAATGCAATTCTTTATCTATCCATATATTACAAAGAGTTCCAGTTTTTGATAAAATTGATCATGTCAAGACATCTTTTCCATACACGTCTTCTTCTTGGCAAGTATGCTGTAACTTCTATAACTCAACAACAAACCATCCCATAGGGCTGAAACTTATACTATGGGCGTAACTCGTTGAGACGTACCAGCTACCAGAATTTCATTGCTTACTGAGAACTTTTTTGGAAACCGGCTGTGTCCTTCATGCATGCTCTATGGAATCGAATTGAACTATCATTTTGTGGAACTCACGTATATTTTCGAAGAAAATAGTGAGTGTAAGTTTTCAGCTCGAGGTCGGCGGCTCCTCCCTCCCCTTCCCCCCACCCCATTACAGACAAATAGCAACGGAAAAGAAAACATTACAGACATAACCTCCATTACAGACACCCCCCATTACAGACCATAGCAACTTCATTAAAACAAATTTCTGTTCGAAATTTACAGATAAAATATAGGATTTTCTAATAATCGATTATCTTTAGAAAATAACTATTATCTTTTGAGGATTTTACATATTGGATATTTTCTCATTAGTATAATGAAACCCAAGAAGACATGTGAGTTCCACATTCGAGCCCCAAAGGGGCTGTGCTGAAAAGCTTTTTCCGTTTCGTTTCAGTCTCTGATGCACACTTAAAAGTTTATTGCGTCTCTTCGTATAACGAGACATAATTACAAACATACACTACAGTTTTGATGGTTAAATATGGTCGATAAGAAGATACAAGAGCTTTTCATTGACAACTACCACTCATTTTATCTCTGTTACGCTTTATCCAGATTTTTGGAAGGTTTTTTAGCACTTTCCTATCGTTCCTCGACTAATATATATTCAATACATGAGAACGTGTGAATGGCAAAGAAATACCGTTCACACATATTTCAATTCCACGTAAATGCATCAATCATTGTTTGTTACTCTTACTTGTTATCGATGGACATAGATATCGGTTGAAATCTGGTACCGGATAACAAACAGGTAGCTCATGACATAGAGGATGATGAACACATCTATGTCCAGGTGCCTTACAAACATTGTTTGGACGTTCGCATGGAACTAATTCAGCACAATCCAAGAATCGATCGAGGCAAATACCTGTCTCAATAGCACCTGCCTCGTGAAAACAGGCACATGCATTATTCGATGAACATCGATCATATTGAGACATTCTATGGCAATATTGAGACCTCACTCGCACTAGTGATATACTAAATAAAAAGCAAAGAATGTAAAGCAAAACAAGAATCCAACCTATGATACTTAAAAAGAAGATCGTTCAACGTTATATCCATAGGAAAACAATAGCTGTTAGAATTACCTGAATAGAATGAAGACAAAGCCACGAATAATTATTGAGACCATCGTTTGAGCTTACATGAGACTAAATAGGTGGTGGAGCTGACTTTTATACTCGATGAATAGATGATGCCTTTCGCATTCATCGATAGTGAAGAAGTGCCTGCCTTAATCCTGTCATTTACAGATATTTGATATTATTTCACAGCTTACTTAGTAATTAATTTTTTTCTAAAAAAAAGAAATCCTTGTAGAAAAAAAGCGGTATGAAGTAATATGGGATTACTTTTGCGTTATAAGCAACCAATAGACTCGTGCCATCATACGAAGAGGGTCGAGTGTGAATGTTTTTTTTACCCGTCTGCAGACCTGAGACCATACGTTTTTCTCAATATTGAATCCATTATAATTGATGCAAAGCTTATGGTTTTAATAGAAAAATAATTGATTTTCATCAGTATGGGTGTGGGTGGGTGTGGGTGTGGGGTATGGATGTGAAAGGCAGTGAGTGAAGAAGGGGCCCACACCCACACTCAAATATCGATTTTCTTCGGGGCATTGCTCATAATCTTTCATTATAAATATTTGTGACTTTTAATAAAAAGATTGTCTGACGCAATATTTTCCAGAAATTTCAATTTTTTTGACGTCAAACATTTGTCGGCCAAATGAGTTGTAGGCGAAGTGTACATGCTGGCCAAACAATTCGTCGACGAAATGGTGTCGGCCAAACAATGTGTGGGCCAAGTGATTGTCGGCCAAGTGACCCGGACCCATTCAGGAGTTGTGAATGAATAATGATCTTCGTAATTTACTAGACTGTGAATCCGCATGCAATGGATATGCTTAAATCGAGAGATGGTGTGTCAGGCCTAATCAGGGTGTGAGTGAGGGTGGATGGGTGAGGGTGGGTGCGGGTGTGGGTGGATGGCGTGGGTGTGTGTGTGGGTAGGGTGGGTGTGGGTGTGGGTGTGCGTGTGGGCATCGGTGCTGATAGGTGTGAAGAACAGAACTTTATCACACACCGACACATACACTCCACCCACACCCACACCCCCACCCACACCCACACCCACACCCACACCCACACCCCCACCCACACCCACACCCACACCCACACCCACACCCACACCC